TGTGAAAATTTTTTTTATATTTATCTCACACACATCATCTAATCATTGTCATCGTTGTGATAACAAAAATTATTTTTATTTTTATTATTAGTTGTTTATGGAACCATTTGAAGAAGCTTCGAAAACCCCAAATCCATTAGTAAATCCTAAACTTATACCGACAATTTTTGCTTATATAGATGATTTGATAAAATTATCAAACGAACTAGTTAAATCAATGAGGTTCTCACCATTCCCATCATCCAATAATCTACAATACATTTATAATAATCATAGACTAGGTCAAACATTTCTAAGATATTATAAAGATTTTGATATTTATCAAAAATATGCAAAAAATCATCGAAAAAGCAGGAATGCTATCAAGAAAGCAAATAAAAATGTTCTATATAGAAAATTTGTTCAGGTAAAATTATAGGATTTATTGTTTATTATTATTATTATTATTATTATTATTATTATTATTATTTATTAAATCAAATTAAATAATTACATATATTTTTCTCTCACAAAAATAAATAATTATATATAGCAATCTTTAAATAAAAAAGAAACAAATCGTCTAACTATTTCTGATTATATGATAATGCCAATACAACGTGTTACCAGATATTGTCTATTACTTCAAAGTAAGTAGCCAAGGCTTATGTTTTTATTTTTGTGTGTTTTTATTGGTTTATTTATTTAGTTGATTTTATTGATTTTTAATTTTAATTAATTTATGTGTGTGTGTGTGTAGAATTAAAAGAATATACACCAAAATCTCACATAGATTATAATGATATATGTAAATCATTGGACAATATGATTTCATTGGCTAGTATTTGTAATAATAACATTAAAGCTATGAAGTAAAATAATCAATCAATCAATCAATCAATCAATCAATCAATCAATCAATCAATCAATCAATCTATATAATTATTACAATATTGTTATTTCTTTCTATTATGTAAATATTTTATTATTAATTAAAAAAAATATATATATATATATATATTATATATAATTTTAATATTTTAAAAAAAAATTACATTAAATAAAAAAATTAATGATTAATAATAATAGTGTAAAATAAAAAACAAAGTTAGTGATTGGGGTAAAAACAATTAAAGTGACTAATGCAATGCATAATAATAGTGTGAATAATTTTCCTTAAAAATCAAAAAAAAAAAAAAAAAAAGGCTAGTTAAAAAGTGATCAAAAAAAAAAACCGCGTTTAGATCTACTCTGATCGGCTTTGGATTGTCAAAAAAAGTTAAACGTCAAATCATTATTTTGTTCTTGTCCAAAAAGAGAGACTCATTAAAAATCGACTTGTGTAATAAAATGAATGGAAAAGCATCCACCAACGATAATTTATGGGATTGTGCAAGCCTAGTCTGTTGGAAACAAGTTCTACGAGGACCCTCATAGATGAGGTGACAGCATGGCTTTTTGCGAGAATTAGCCTTGTACTACCAGCTCTAATTAACATTAACTGGCAGGATAAATAAATATGATTTTGAAGGGAACGAACAAGAGATATGATTGTTGTCACATTTAGTGCAAAATCCATCAAGTTAACACTAAGCCTTGTTCATGTTCTCTTTGTACGAAGCTGCTGATTATGCCTCGATTCTTTAATCGATATTTGGAACATTCAAACTCTTCTGAACTTGGTCAGGCTCTTGATGGACGCTATCAGCTGCATCAATTTCTGACAGGTTTGAAGATATCCTCCTTTGAGCAAGATTCTAAACATCGTTTATTTTCTGATTCTGGAATTGGCTCTTCGTTTGGGGTTAAACTTAAAAGAATGCAGGAGCTTTATCTCATCTTTAACCCGCAAAAAGAAAGTTATATTTTGATTAACATGTGCAGCAAAGTTGTTAAAACACATACATTATCATCTTGCTAATTTCGTAACAAGCTCCAAAAATCAATCGACCAGTTAATTAATTAATGATAGCAAATTAAGTGATATATACTGTATATTATATATATTCTCATATATAATATTAAATACATATAATCAAACATATGAATGGACAAGCATTTCAATGAAGATTGATCGGCGGATATGGGTTTTTGAACCATACTCCTAACTCAAGTGAGTTAATGCGATCCCTTAACATGGGGCTTTTCAATAGAAACGGACCATGTTGTGAAAATGATGTTTTGAGAAAATTAAAAAAAAAAAAAGATCTCGAATTTTTATTAGACAAAGTGGGTATAGCAATGAGATTAACTCAAAATCCCTTTTACACAACACGGGTCCCGCTTCTACTAAAAGCCCCATATGTAGAATTGGAAACCACACTAATACACATTTTTCATAGTATTTTTCCAAACAATAGCAAATCCCTTAAAACGCAGATCCTTTTTGTTTTTGATTACATCATTTTAAGAGTTCTGTTCCAAAAGTCCCCAATTACATGTGAGCATTGTGGAAATTTTGAAATGCGCTACATAACTTTACAATACACGGCAAACATTCTGGCAATAAAAAGTAAGTGCTGAGCTGGATTTGAATTGGATCTGAACTTGACCTCCAATTTAAAGAGATAACAATTATATATATATACAATGGTGAAGCAATAACATTTCGTGTAACAATAAACTTCCACTATGCTTTGCATGTGATATTCGATTTTATTTGTTTTTCTACCGAATTTATCTAAATTTGAGCAAAGTCCGGAAAAAATTTCCACTTGGAAAATTATCGTAATTTTAATCCGATTTATAGAGAAAAAAAGTAGAAAGAGCACTTCTTTTTTTCGTTATTTTTTTTTTGAGGAACTATTATGCAAATCTTTCGATATTCACCAGGAACATGATGCAATCAGGCTTGAAATTTATCCCGAAAAAAAAACCAGATTTCGATATCTTAAAACCGGTTCGACCAATCTTAATGCAGGTTTAAAACCGGTTGCTATAATTTCAACCGAATATTTTAAAAATAAAGTACAATTTTGGCGGCATTATAAAAAATAAAACCAGAAATACTGTACTTAACAAAAATGATTACCTTCTTCACAAACGAAATTTTCTGTGGACTATTCTTTGACTTTTACTGTATTATCTATCAAAATCAGCTCCATAATATCAACCAAAAGATTGATATAATAGTTAACGTAAGCCAATTAAACCAACCGGTGATCCAAGGAAATTTAAGATTGTGAAATGATTTCAAACAATAGTTTGATAAAAAGACAGAGCAAAACCCAAACCTTCAATTGGTGAAATAGAATTTGAAATCTGCGATTACATGGTGAAGAAGGAAAGGAATTTCTACCTCTGCTACCAAAAACTTGTATCAACAAAAAAATGAATTCGATCCAAGAAAAGAATAAAAAAATGGTGAAGAAGAAGATACCAATATAACAATAATATTATTATTATTAGTAATAATAACGAAGATATATAATAGATTTATATCAAGGAATAGGTAATATTCGTAAATGGCTTCTCATACAATTGCTCCGGTGATTTTTGTTATTTAATATTTATATATATTAAGATCATTGTGTATTTTCTCTTACTTGGTTGAATCAAAATAAATAAAATGCTACTTATCCCTTTATTACATGAATATTCTTTGCCTTCGTATATTACATGTCCATTATAATGTTTATGATGATTATGCAATATTTTTGATATTATCGTTCTTAAATTTGTAAATTAAGATTGATAATTTTAGATCGCCAAAGTAATAATAAATAAGAATGAAAAAATTATTCCCAAAAATTGTTTTTATCTTCCCAATTGTATAAAATAAATCTGATATTGATAATAGGCGTCAGATTTAATTCTATGGTAGTAGGGATGTTAATCAATTTTTAAGTAGCTTTTGATCGTTTTACGTTCACGAGTTAACCTTTAGATATTAATAAAATGAAAGAAGCTAGGACATATGTCCAGGACACAATTGGGCGTCACTTCAATAAATCCAGTTTTATTTACAATATAATTTTTAAATTTTTATTTTTTATCCTTTGACGAGTAAAAAAATTATTAACAAATTTTTTGCTTCGTTTCAAGAAAAGAACATGATCAACAGACTGCTATTTCGTAACAAAGTAATTTGTTCTCTCGCATCAGAGAAAAGCCTTTTCCGAAGGAACTGATGAAGAAGGAATTGCCAAATATTTTTAGCTAAAATAGTAAGTATTGGGATTTTTTTTTTCATATTATTATTATTAATTATAACATTTAGAATATATTTATATTAGTGTACGGATTGTATAAAATTGTTTCAAATATTATTATTATTATTGGAAAAAAATTATCTAAATTAGCCCAGGAAGAAAAAAGGGAGAAAGAGAATTTAAAACAGCAACATTACTACTGATGTTATTGTTGTTATTCGTGCTGCTTTAGAATGAATGAAATATGTATAATAATATGTATATTATGTATGTATTTGTTCGTTAGGTCATGCATGACATTTAAAACTAATTACTTCTAAAAATTAAAAATTAAATTAGATCAAAGTAAATATTACTACACTATTTACTTAATTTATTGACTTTTTTTCGACTTTCGATTAAATCATCAAAAGTGATCGGCAAAAATTTTCTACTTGCACTCATAAACAGGAGAGACCGTTCTGGGAACACAAAAATTAACAGGAGGGAACACAAAATTTTAACCCATGCTATTTGTTGATT